CCGGCGCCTGGACGCGGAGGGGGCGGGCGGGCGCCGCAAGGCATTGCGCATGCGCGCTGCGGCCCGGTGCGAGTGTTGGGGGCGCTAAGGGGGAGCGCGCCGCGTGCGCGCGGGAGGTGATTGTGCAGCTGGTGCTTGAACTTTTTCTTTCTGCGCTCCCGAAACTAATACACGGGGGGGAATGACCCCTAAAGTCATCTCTGCAACCAGCCTGTTTTTATTGACGGGGCGACCGAGACTGAGAAGGCAGGTGCAGGGCAGGGGGACGGGCGTGCTTTGGTGGGAGGAGCCTTGGGAGCCAGGTTTGACCACAGGGTCTTTGAGCTCTAGTTTTCTTGTAATTGTGCCTTTTTGCCATGATAGTTAATATATGCATACACATATGTACGTATATAAAGCAACTATAATTAAGTGACATTAACTACATCCACCTGTTGAACAACTAACCAGAATTTGAGTGTAATTTTTAGAAATAACGTTCTCAAAATTTATACTGTACACTCTTTGGCGTAAATCATTTAAATGTAATAATATGAGACATTTCCTATACCATGGCCCTTGTGGAGAAGAAACGTAAAGCACAACTCTGGAGAGGGCCGCCTGGTAGCGCAGTGGGTCACATAGCCCGCCTCTGATTCGTTTAGGAAAGCATGAAGACTGTAGCACAGAGCCTGGCTCACAGGTTAAAGTGAAAGAGCAGGATCCACCAGCGTGCATGCCAGAGTCCATGGCTGTCACTCCACCTGTCACCAGAGGCGTTCCCCAAAGAGGAAATGGAGGACCACAACTCACCCCACTCACGGAATAAGTTTGCTGACTCCTGTCACAGAAAAAGAATTTTCAGGATGTGTTAAGAGGTACAGAAAATATTTAGCAGGGGGAAAAAGTACACAGTCAGAGTGTGGGTGTTTGAAGAGTGAGATGCATTATGGTCTGGAGTTGGGTCTGTACGTGTGTTGCCCGTGTCTTCCAGATGCGTGATGTGGGCTGTGATTCCTGCTGTCCGATTACTCATCCCGCGGGCTGTTAGGATGCAAACCATTTACACTGAAGTTGAGATCTGCTGCGCACCTAATAGTTCTGCTTCCTTGAGGAGGGAGGTCTGTGGGAAGAAGAGCAGTGTATAGGTGAAAAGTACGGGCTAGCGCCCAGTTTTCAGACTTATTATGTCCTTAAGACCCGTAGGAATTTTTTTGGGAGTGAGTTCCCTGAAAGGGAAAAACGCATTATAACATTGAGTAATTTTTGTGTTCTGAAGCTGCAATTTTTATTTAAAAGACAATTTTAAAATTACAGTCTTCTTGTCTCTACTTTGCATTCTATGTAAAAAGGGAACACAAAACATAACTCTGGAGTGGTCTGCCTCATAGAGTAGTGGGTCATATGACCTACCTCTGATTTCCTTTTGAAAGCTTGAAGACCCTTGAGCACAGAGCTAGCACACAGGAAGTGTTTAGTTGCGTGGTAGCTTAGAGCTGGAACAGCAGGTTTCCGCAGTCAGTGGCTTTTGCCCTCGCACCCACTCCTAACTCCCCCGCTTGGGGTGGCCCACACTGTGTGAGAGAGGACAGAATGCTGGGACTCCTCTGACCCTTGCACCTGGAAAAGGTTTGTGCTGATGAAATGGTGTAGAAGCGGAGTGCGGCAATCCAAACCCCTCCTGCTCTACCCAGGCTCAGCGCTGCCTCCTGCAGGCTGTGCTGTCCCCCAGTGTCCCAGGGCTGGAGAAAAGAAGGAAAATGAGAGAGAAATCAGGTTTTCATGGGGTCTCCCTAGTTTCAGAGTCTGTTGTTTTATAATGAAATGAAAATTCCCTTTTTGACTTTAAGATTTCTGTGACTCACAGAAAATTTTAAATAATTTATCTGAATTTAAAAAAAATTTTTTTTAACAAAACACGAATTAGGCAGGAAAATGAAGTCCTTTTCTCTTTCCTGTGTTGATGCCTGATCAGGAAGAATTCATGATAAATTAAAACTATTTTTTAGTCACTGCTGTTTAAAAAGGTTGCTGAAAAAGCAATCTTGCCAGGCACGATGGTGCACGCCTGTAACCCCAGCACTCAGGAGGCTGAGGCAGAAGGATCGTTGTGAGTTCAGGTCCAGCCTGGGCTACATGGTGAGTTCAAGGCCAGCCTAAACTGCATAGTGAGACCCTGTCTCAAAAATAAATAAATAAATAAATAAATAAATAAAAGCTAGTCCTTTGGACTTTGGTGAGAAATTATACATTGTCATTAAAAGGACTTTAGACATTATTTTAAAGAGCAACAGCAAAATACACCCAATTAATTACTTGAGATTGTATATTTCACCTCATATAAATCAATCTTTGCCTATCTGTAGCTCCCTTTGCTTTCTGTAGCGCTCCAGAGGCAAGAAATCACTAATTAAAATCTCTTCAGAGTGACACTGTGGGCTGAGCTTCTGTGAAAGGACAATGAAGATGGTCTGTGCTCTTTTTATTGTTGTTGCAGGCAGGTGCCCACACACCCCACCAGGTTTCCCTTCTTGGATGTTAGCTACTGACACCCTAATAATGTGCTACCTGCCAGATTTCTGTAAGGTTGTTCTTTTCCCTTTTCTAATGATTAAGTATTATGTGGTGGGAGGACTCACCAAACTTTACATTCAGTAACTTGTAAATGCTGAAATGCCCTTGTTATATAATCAAGTCGGAGAAGTAAGAGACTGTATTTTTTTTTTTTTTTTTCTGGTACCGGGAATCAAACTCACGACCTCGCGTTTGCCAGGCAGGCACTGTGCCACTGAGCTATATCCCCAGCCCCCAAAAGACTGTATTTTCATATGTCGTTGGTAGAAGAAAACAAACACTGCTGAGGGAAAGCACTCTTAAATTGGAATCAGGACTGTAGGACAGTGCTGTAGGCAGCCTTGGACTTCTGTAGCTCTCCATTTCTCACAGGATCAAGAATAACTGCATGATGTGCTGGGGATGCACTATCTTGAGGTAGCTGGGAGCTGTCGGAACAGCCTAGGCTCTGGTTCTGCCTCCCCTGGAAACAATGCACCTTTCAATGCTTTAGGTGAGTAGATCGTGTTACCTCCAGGGTATAAAACCAGGTGCTTTCTTTCCAGTGTCCTGAAAGGGCAGTGCACATGGACAGCTTTCCTGAGCCTCAGAAGACAGTCTGACAGGGAACCCTAGACTTTTCATGTCATTGCCACCCACCTGAAATCATGTAACTTGAATCATGTAATCATGTTACTTGAATCATGTAACTTGTGTGTGCGTAGGGGAGGAGGGTGCTCTTTCTCACCATACTCAGGCCTACGTTGGTACGGGTGCACAGTGAAAGAACTTCACAAGCACCCTTAAGAAAACTAGATCCAGGAGCCAGGCATTATGATATATGTCTGTAATCCCACCAGGAGGCTGAGGCAGGAGGATCACAAGTCTGAAGTCGGCCTGAGCTGCAAAGTGAGATGCTGTCTCAAAAATAAATAAATAAATAAATAAAATAAAATAAGAACCCAGCTCTGCAACTGAGTGACTCCTGCTTTATTCTTCCATTCTTTCTACCTAGCAGGGACACCAGCAGGAGCCTGTGCTATCTCCTTAGTAGGCATTGCTAGAGGACTTATAGAGCAGGACTCAGGACTGTACTTATATGTGACTCTTGAAGCATCTTAGGGAAGAAGCCATAGAGAAAGAGGAAATGGAGTCCTCAAACATTGTTCTAGGATTGTGAGCCAGTCAGAAGGGAGAAGTGATGGGGGTAGAACATGGTCTGTGTTACTGAGATTGTTCTGTAGCTCCGCCACCTCCACCAGGGATTTATATCTTTGTCTTAAGAGTTGATTAGAAACATCATCCAGTGGGAGAGTCTTCGGTGATTAAAAGGTATGAGCTATCCACAGTAGCTAAAAGCAATAGCAACCCAAGTGTCTAAAAAAAATGGACAAAATGCTTGCATGTATATTGGGCAAAGAAAATATAGAAATAGCCAGTAAGCACTAGGAAAGATGCTCAACAAAAGCAAAACAAATTAAAACATTAAAAAATGCAAAACAAAGCCTGGCATGGTGGTACACGCCTATAATTCTAGCACTCGAGAGGCTGAAGGATCGCTGCAAGTTCAAGGCCAGCCTGAACTTCATAGTGAGACACTGTCCCAAAAAGACAAAAAAAAAAAAAAAAAACCAAAGCAAAACATGGCTACTGTTAAAAGGTTTTTTTGGCAAAGGAGTGACAAAGGTGGATCCCTTGAGCCCTCTTGGTGGGAATGTAGAAATGGTGCTGCTGCTATGAAAAACAATATAGAAGTTCCAGTTAGCTAAAAAAAAAAAAAAAAAAAAAAAAAAGTTCCTCAAAAAAGTTAAACAGAATAACCTACAATCAAGCTGTTTCACTTGCCGTATGCTCGAGTGATTTCACTTTTGGGTATCACCACAAAGAATTGAAAGCAGCGTTTCTAAGGGATGCATGTACACCATTTTCATAGCAGCATTATTCACAATAGTCAAAGTAGAAGCAGCCCAAAATGATGAGTGTCAGTTTTGTAAGGTTCTGTAGATGGCTGGCGGTAATGGTTGTACAACAATATTAATGTATATGATGCCATCGGATTGGCGTGGATATACAGTGGGTAAGAGGGTAAATTTTGTGTTATCTGTATTTTATCACAATTATTATTTTGTAAAGGGATGAAGCTGGTGGTGTGGCTCAGGGGTATGTGGCCTACCATGTGTGGGACCATGGTTCAATCCTTAGCAGCACACACACACACCCAGAGGCGGGGGAGCGGTACTAAACAAAGTAAACAAGGCATAGATGAATTTTAGATATTTATTGATAAA